TTGTATATATTATAATTTTTTCGTTTAATTTAACTTGCTTTATTTTATGCAGTTCTGAAAATTTACAAGAGTTACCAGGATATGGAGAAGAAAAAATAATAACAAATCCAATTGGAGCATTGCAAGAAATGTGCATGACACGTCATTGGCCTCCACCTAAATATACAATGGAAAATGAAGAAGGTCTACCACATGAAAGACAGTTTACTATTGTTTGTTCTATTTTAAAATATCGTGAGGTTGGCCAAGGAAAAAGTAAGAAAGTTGCAAAGAGGCACGCAGCCCATAAAATGTGGCAAGCATTGCGCGATATGAATCCCGAAAATTCTAACATAGATATAGATGAGGTAAGAATCTCTTCTTTATCTATATTTAATGCATTCATCATTTAAATCATCTAAAGTTAAATGTAATTGTTTGATACATATTTAGTTAAATCTTTTTTTAATGCATTCAGTTACATATTGCAATTGCTATTTGTTGAAATAATATTAACACTTATTTTTTGCATAAATTGTGTACTTGTATGTGAATTGTTTTTATTGTGTATGTGTGTGTATGCTTAGTGAAGTGGAAGTGATTTGGCACTGCAAGCAGTATTATGAAATATAAGCTACCTTTCTGATCACCCTGAATCTATAACGGATAATTTTTAAGATTTCAATTGTGTGTAATTTATATGTGTATTTGTATTATAAATCATTTACACAACAACATATATTTTTAACAACAACACGCTTGGATCATTTCCACTTCATTTTACTCTTAATATAAGTGCAGTCATTGGTGAACTTTTCTCAATGATGAGCATGTAATGAAATTTTTACGTATATTAATTGTCCGTTATAGGTTTTACAAAGAAATGAAAATGTGAGTGCCCATTATGCTGATCTGAAAGGTAGCAAAATTTCAACAGTAACTTCTATTCATAGCCTTAAGGTTTCACAGTTTCATAAAAGTTTGAAGTCATCTACTGGTGTTAAACTTTTTGAATTGCAGGTTTGTAATATAATTGATTGAAACATATTGTTTTCGCACTGTTTTAAATTTTTTAAGTAAAAAAATTTACTAAATTTGGTAATCTTATTAAATATGTTTTATTATTTCATTTTGTTACAGAATACTTGTTTGAATGATTGTGATGTAAATTTGGTACAGTTTTTACAAGAAATTTCTTCGGAGCAGCAATTTGAAGTAACTTATGTTGATATTGAAGAAAAGTCTATCAGTGG